TTGAACGCTAAGATGAAATAGAAACTTGAGTCATTAGAATTCTTTTTCATGAATTAATAAATTCATTTCCTATGAATTATAGTAAACCCACACACACAGAGAAAATTTGTTTAATAATAAGTGTGCTTGTAGGGGAGCTCTGGTGGCCTAGTGGCAAGGAGCTGCAACTACAATCCCAGAGGCTCATGGTTCAAATCCACCAGATGCTCTGCCGGGGAAGGAGGGACAGTCTCTTCTTGTACCAGTCAGCTCTGATTTGATGGTATACACACACACACACACACACACACACACACGTGTGCTTGTGCTCAAAGTTCACAAACCCATCTTTAGCTCCCATGTGAACTTTGTTCTTTAAATTTCTCTTTTTATTTTAATGGCATTTATAAGATAAATATTTTTATCACTAAGAAAGAGGATTGATGCCTTTGAGCTGTGGTGCTGGAGAAGAGTGTTGAATATACCATGGACTGCTAGGAGAACAAACAGGTTTGTCCTGGAGAGGGTGAAGCCAGAGTGTTCCCTGGAGTCAAGGATTCTGAAGCTTCGTCTGACATATTTTGGGCATGTTGCAAGGAAAGGGACATCATGTTTGGCAGAGTGGAGGGAAAGCGAAGGAGAGGAAGACCTTTGGCGAGATGGATCAATTCTGTGACTGGAGCAGTGGGAATAAGTGCGTTTGAGATGGCTAGGTTGGCACAGGATAGAACAGCATTTAGAGCTCTTGTACATAGGGTCACTATGAGTCGCAAGCGACTCAATGGCACATAACAACAACAACAAAGTTCCTCCTTGTTGCCAAACTTTATGCTTGTCCTTGTCTGTGGGCCTCTTCAAGGATTTCTGGTGGCCTAGAGGGTAAAGAGCTGGGTTGCCAACCCAAAGGTAGGCAGTTTGAATCCACCAGTTGCTCTGCAAGAGAATGAGGGTATTCTTGTCCCTCTGTGATTTACAGCTTCTGAAATCCTGCTGCAGAGTCAGCTGTGGGTTGGTTCCAACTCAACAGCAATGAGTGGGTGAGTGGTGACTTGAATCGTCTGATGTTAAGGGGTCCCTTGGACTGGGTTTCCACTTCTTTTCTTCAGTTTTGGCTTGTTGGGAGAGTGACTTGACTGAGACTGTCAAAAGCACGACCTCCCTTCATCAGCACTTCCTTCTACTTCCTCAATTCGTTCTTCTGCTTCAGAGAGTTTCTGGGCTGGTACCCACTCCCCTGCTTTTTCCCTTTTACATAGGAGTTTCACGTTCTCCAAGCATATTTTTGGAACAAGCATAACTTAAGTGGCCATTTCCCTCACATTCACAGCACTTAGATTTAACAAATTGATGCCTTTGAGCTGTGGTGTCAGAGAAGAGTATTGAATATACCATGGACTTCTAAGAAAATGAACAGCTTTATCCTGGAGAGGGTTAAACTAGGCTACTCCTTTTTTTTTTTTGAAAGATTTATTCGATCTGAAGAGAAACAAGAGTATGTAATTTTTTTTTTGAAAAGGTAATTTAAAAAATGGCTGCAGTTAAAGACACTGGAAGCAAGCTACCAGAAATTCAAGCTGGAGCAAACTGGGAATAAGGGTTCTCACTGCTGATGCCAGGTGGTTCTTGGCTGAATTTACCGGTGTCTATGCAAAACTTTGTGTAGACCATAACAAGTTACGGATAGTACTGCAAAGAATGCTAACTCATTTAATTGTGCTCATGGGGAATGTGTACAATGACCAAGAAAAAAAGCAATTTGAACAGAACAAGGGATATCATAGTTGAAAATCAGAAAAGGTATCTTTATCTACATGCTAAGCAAACAATCTAAGAAACTGGACTATATGAAGCCCATGACATCAAAACTAGAACAAGGGTGATTAACTTGCAATATCAGATGTATCTTACAACCTTGCCTGGTGGAACCAAACTGGACTAGAACCACATAATGAAGATCCAAGACTGTGGCCTTTTTAGAGTCATAAATTATAATAAGAATTCTCAAAACTAGACACACAAGCATTATCTTGGTAAGAGAAGGTAGTTCTCATGAATTTCACTTCACTTGACTCTACATCCATTGCACTAGCACTCAAGAATTCAGATTACAGGGGGTGAGAGTCGGGGGAGGGCTGGGCAGGGAGAGAAGTGCAGCAATGAATGAATGGAATTCTAAAATCCCAGTAAATGTTCATTAAAATAAAAAGAAAAGAATTCCGATTACATCCTGCATTAAGTCAATCTGCAGCAAAAGACCCTATTATTCAAAAACGAAGATACCACTTTGAGGCCTAAGATGTGCCTGGCCCATCCTAGTATTTTCAATTGCTTACATTACATGTGGAATCTGGATAACAAACTAGGAAGACCAAAGGCAGGCCT